TTTGTCTTCCTTCCTGTGATTCAGTCTCGCTCGCCGCCCGCTGCCCGCTGCCCACCAGCTCCTTTCGCTGTCCAAGCCCACAGATCAGGCGGTGACGGGGGTCTTCGATTTCTCATCGGCGCCGCTGGGAGGTGATTCCGCCATCAATCTCACTCGGTGTTGAGCCGCGCCGTCTGTGTCACCCGCTCACTTCAAGACTGGGAGTCGGCATAAATCACCGCAGCCTCCTCTGCCTTGTTCTGGAAGTGTTAGGACGCGGACAGTCCTTGGAACTCGGCCAGCCACTTGGACTGCCTCCCTCCGAGACAGTGAGCTAACAGCCCAGTCACAATCCCCTGAGTCATGTGGAGGGGCCCGTCCAGCCACCCCTGCTGAGGCTCTGCCATGGGAGGAAAAAGGACAGGGATTCAACGCCTGTACAGTCCCTGCTGCACTGTGGGAATCTGATACCTCGGTGAGGTTTGCAAATATCTATGTTCTCCAAGCAGAAATCAGACACTCGGCCTTCGGAGCATCAGAACCAGAGCCCAGTTCTCGTGCAAAGATCATGCCTGAGGCAGAGGGAAAAAGTCCGAGCAGCCGAGCAGCAGCACACCCTGTTCTCACCTTGACCACGCAGACGTGATCGGGAAGTATTATGAAGCCGTGCTGACAATTATTTTCAAGGAGCTCACCAAGGCCGACAAAGGACCATACTGAGAATGAACTGCAGTTTTAGAACTTTCAATTTCATAACTGTACACAGACCATTCATCGTTGCCCAACAGTGTAGTCTGTGTTCCCTTCCCTGCCTGTAAAAGACTAGTGTCCTCTCCCTGGGAACATGAAGCACAGATTGTTTTTTACTTCGGGAACTTCAAGCAAATGGTGGTAGAATAATTATCATTCTACTATGATCAAATTTAATTAGTAGATTATTTAATATAGTATAATGCCAAAGTAAAGGATACAGTTTCAAAACCTAGTCCGCTGTCCTAAATTTTTGAGTACACGGCAGGGTTAGGCTACTCTGCCTGGTACAAAGAAGGATCAATGGATTTAATCCAGAATGAGAATGACACAATCACTGCAAAACCAAAGACGAAACAGAAAACAGAATTTGTGGGGATGTGCTGTACATTCAGAATCCCCAGGGATCTTTGGTGATTAAACTGTCAAGATATATTGTTGGTTTTCTCACTCCCTGTACCACGTGGTCATAAATAGCCCAGTGTTTTGACTTTATCCTCACTAAAGAGGAAATAAAAATACATCTGCTAACGTTCTAACCTGAAAGCATGTCCTGTTCCGACAGACTACTCCAGTTTGAACTGCAACATAGACTGTTTTGCGAGGACTTGATTGCGGTGTTCAAAATGCTGGAGCATGTTCAACAAGCCAATCCTGGAGACCAACTCAAGGTCTTCAAGGGTTCAAGGACCGAAGGTCACAAGAGAAAGCCAGGATATACTTCTTTACAAAGGCATTCGTGGGTTGTCTGGAATACAACATGCTTGACATTGTTGAGGCTTTGGTTTGAGTCTGGGATCATTAAGTAACCAAATGAACAAGAAGGTGAAAACTGCAGTGTCTGTACTTTGACTATGTTGTATCTTACCAGGTTGGCTAGCTGGGGACAAGTTCTTATTTCAGATGAGAACCTGGAGACCCGTTTACACAGCAGGGGGCTTACTGGAGCTGTGTGGGTGAGGCTCCCAGCTCGAGACTAAAGCAGCAGTTGTCTGAACCCACAACCTCCTGTCCAGAGCTCTGACCACTCCTCCATCCAGCTGCCTCAGATGTGCAATTTTCAGGTGGGTTACAGTTTTGATGTGATCACAGCCTGATCTAGAACACCAGTGTCAAAGAGGCCCCCTTTTCTGTGATCAGCCCCGATAATGGCGATGTGAAAGCAGAGCAGACAGCACACTGGACAGAGAGTCAACTCAAGGTGTTTACGCCAGTGATTCTGGTGACAGTTAACATAATAAAAAAAA